AAGTGTAAATAAGGATTAAAATGATTAAAATGAATAATTGATAATATGAGATAGTAAAAGTTCCAAAGGGGTAGGATTGGTGGGAGGGGAAGGGGAAAGGAAAGAAGGGAAAGGAAAATTTATGAGAAAAGAAAAAAAAATGGAAACGAAGTCTTTGTAAATAGGGAAGGGTGGAGGGGGTGAGGGGCACACAAGTAATGGGGAAAAAAATAACCAAGATACATCATGTACAGGTATAAGCACCCAATGATCAATCTAAATGTATTGTATACCTAAAATATACTAATAAAAGTATTTTAAGAAAAAATAATAACGAGTCACAGATGTAGTGAATAAGACTCACTTTGTCGGATTATGGATGAATTGACTTAGGAATGTTCTTCCAGAATGGAATTTGTTCAAAGTCAGAGACTTACTGTATTAAAACCATGTTTGTGTTTATGTGACTAGGTAGACTGGGACCAAATTGTTCTACCTGATTTGACATGTAATAGTGCGATGATTCAGAATCCCCATTCTCATATATACATTATTTGTAGACTAGAGGGAATCAAATGGCCTGAATATCTCTATTTGCAGTATTTTAATCCTTATTGTATTGGACTGTGGTTGTATTCACTTCATTTAAACACTTTCTTGATATGCCATAAAAAATAAATAGCTTTTTTTTTTCTCCTCTCTCTCCTCTTTCTTCTCTCCTCTCTTCTCTCTTTCCTTCCTCTTACTTTCCCTTCTTCATTGTTAAGTATTTAACCTAGGACCTTGCAGATGGTAGGCATGGGCTGTACCACAAACTATACGTGCTCTAGCCCTTAAATGTCTTTTCTTTTTCTTTTTTTTAAAATATCTTTTCCTTTAAACTAGAGAGTAGAGACATAAAATAGCATGTTTCAAAGTCAAATATTAATTTACTAAGTTATAATTCTTATGTATTATTTTGAAGTATTTCAGACAACTTTTAAGAGGTGCAGAATCACCAACACGCAATTCAAAATTCAACCGGTAGGTGCACTTAACCCGTACGTATGTTTTGTTTTTGAACTTGCTGATGCTAATCACTCTGTGATAGTGTCTTTGTCTTTATTGACTTTTTTTCTGAATGAATATGTAACTATTGGTTCATGAGTAAATACCTCATCAGTGATTGTAGAATATATTTGTTGTAGTTCAAAAGTAAACTTTTAAGGAATATTTTTAATTTTGACCTGTTTCATTGTATATTCAAAGTATAACTTTTTAATATTTAGTAATCTTTTGTTAACTTTGCTTCTTAGCTTAGAACATAAACTGTTTTTTCTCCAGTGTTGGGGGTTGAACCCAGGGCATCATGCATGCTAGGCAAGCACTCTAGTACTGTACTACACCCCCAACCCCAAAATAATCTTTTTAAAAATCCTAATGCTAAGTGTGTGAAGAAGCACATATGATTATATCTAACATGGACGCAGATTCTATGTTGGAAAATAATGAGTTTGTTTTTTGTGCCAAGTTTTTGGTGGCTTAGTCTCCACATATTTTTCTACTATGTCAAAGAAATGGTATGCCTAAGTAGAAATAAATACAGAATTATTTTCTAACATATTCCATTTTTAAGAACTTTAGTGATCTGTACTTTTTATCCCCACACCCAAATGCAACCATCTGCTTTGTTTCTCTTACTTTTGTTAAACTATTCTTAAAGATGTTTACTTTTTTTCTGGCAGTAGTGGGAATTGAACCCAGGGAGCACTGAGCTAAATCTGCATCCCTTTTTATTTTATTTTGAGGCAGGGTTTCACTAAGTTGTCCAGGCTGGCCAGCAACTTGTGATCCTCCTCCCTCAGACTTCTAAATAGGATTACAGGCGTATGCCACCATACCTAGCTGGATTTTTTAACTTTTACAAAGATGAGTGCTGTCCTTTTGTGTAACTTTTAAATTTTGTTTTGTATTCTATAGTGAAACTTGTTTAATACCTGGGCTTTCTCTCTTTCTTCTTGTATAATTTCACATATCTGATATTGCAGAGGTAGCCTAAGTTTGGATGACTTTCGGTAAGTCTTGAGCTTGTGATTCTTTTCAATATAAGGTATTTGTTTAAAGTCCAAAAAGTATACTCCAAACAATCTTAAGTACAACTGAAAAGGAAAAAAAAGAAGCACTGTGCAATTACTGCCTTTCTATCAGTTGTGTAGAATAACTTTAAAATGAATCTCTACTTTGATTCTAAATATCTCCTTTTTGAACATGCTGTTATAAAAATAAACATGTTCTGATACTTTTAAGATGTTGTAATTATTTATTTTACCAGTATCTTGCTTTTCAAGGATACTGCCCTTTTTTTTCTTTTCTTTTTTTGGTTGTGGATTTTGCTAAATTGTTCTTAGGATTTTTTTTTATGTTTATAGAGCTTTTTAAAAAATAGGTATAATGATACTTCTGTGATTCTGGGCATACCATATTTTAAAAACCTTCGTTGTTTTATACTCTAGATTCTAGAATACTAGAACAATCTGGGTTCTAGAGATAAATATTTAGTAATATTCTGTCAATTTGTTTTTGTTTGTTTTTTGACACAAGGCTTCACCGTATTTCAGGCTGGCCTTGAATTCAGTATATAGCCCAGACTGGCATTTTACCCATGGAGATTCTCCTACCTCAGCCTCCCAAATACTGGGATTACAGGCATGCATCACCATGCCTGGCTATTTTGTCAACATTTGTTTTTTTGGTACCAGCGATTGAACTCAGGACCTAGGCGGCAGAACCACTGAGGTGAATCCCTGGCCCATTGTCAACATTTTTATATTTATCTTTGTAAAAACATCTTCTTTCAAGGACAATTGTATCTACAGCTCTGAGTTTTTAAAAAAACACTAATTGAATGCTTGTTTAGATAAAATAATTTAGTTTAAGTACTTTTAAAATACTACTTATAAATGGCTTTCTAGTTTTAAAATGTTTGTTTTGCTCCTCAGCCATGTATAAAATATACATGTCATGCATGATATACCTGGTGTATTTGAAACTCGATCAGTTTCCTCTTGTTTCTGTAAATGCACCATTATTTCACTAGATAAATTTTGCTTGTAGAGTACTAGCTATCCAGTAAGTTAAGTATTAGAAACAAAGTGCCAGGTTTTAAAATAGTCATTTTATTTGGATACTTATTGTAAGAGTTAGTAGTATTTCATAGTGAAATTGAGTTTTAGATTGGGTAAAAGTTAGGATTTTAGTTACTGAGATACCAGCATTAGGCCCCAATGGAGGACGTTTTTGCTCCTTTTAGCCCCTTTTTCCCCCCTTTTCTTCTCTGGAATTTCTGCTTTAAGAAATTAACTGCTGAAAAAATTTGTAAAACCAACCTTCCTATTTATTTATTTAATTAATTTATTTTTGGCATTTTGAGACAGGGTCTCACTATCCAGTTCAGGCTGGCTTTAATTTGAAGTAATCTTCCTGCCTCACCCTCCCAAATGCTGGGTTATAGGTGTGCGCCACCATGCCCAGCAAAACCAATGTTTAATGTTTATGGGAGAGCAGGCTGTTTCCTTGGGCTGTATTTGCTTTTATCCATATCCTCATTGTTACCCCTCCCCTTTGGCATTTTCATTGCTTTGAAGTTAAATAAGATATTTTATGCCTCATTCCTCTTTTGAGTATTTATATGATTATAAGGTTGAATTTTGCTTGAACATTTGTCAACCACAGAGGGTCTTACTTTTTGTTGTGTTTTTTTTTTGCTAAGTTTTATCTGAAAAAGAAGTACTGAGAAGTTTTATATATGTGTGTGTGTGTGTGTGTGTGTATATACAGTTATATATATTTTTGTTGCATTGTTATACTCGATATTTAAAATTGTTTTATTTGTACGTTTGCAGTACATAATGATTACATTCATTGTGAGGTGTTGGTACATATACATAACACACTTAATCCCATTTACATCTTCCTCTCCCCTTGCTCCTCCCTCCATCTCTTGGTCCCATCCCCAATTACAGAAGATTTATTTCCCCATTTCCTATTATCGGTCTTTTATTTTGCTCTGTAAATTATTTATACTTTGAGTTTCTCATATAAGAGAAACCATGCAATATTTAAGCATGTGTGTTTTATGTATTTCACTTAACATTGTGTAAATGGATGTTGTTTTGAACATTGATTTTGTGACACATTTTTGTTATTTCAAAACACATAAGGCATTAGGAATTATGTTCCACTAGGGGGCTCTTATCTTTAAAAATTTTTAGTTGTTAGTGTTTTCAAATTAGCAGCTAATTTAAATATTTATTAGTAAATTTTGTCTCATTTACCCATACTACAAATTTAAACTTTGAATGTTGTATCATTTTTGGCTTCTGAGATGTTGATACTTAATCTGTGATAGAAAAACTCCAAAGATTATACTAGCTATACTTTCAGTTTGTCATTTCCAGAAGTATTTTTGTAACTATATTTTCCTAACAATATATAATATATTGTTTGTTTATAGTAGGTTAGACTGCTGTGATACTTTGCTATGTGCCTGATAGGTTTTCGTTTAATATTTAGAAGCACACAGAAAAGGGGAGAATCATTTGGAATCAGCAGAATAGGCAGCAAAATTAAAGGCGTATTCAAGAGCACCACAATGGAGGGAGCTATGTTGCCTAATTATGGTTTGGCTGAAGGTGAAGATGATTTTGTAAGTAAAATTCTTTAGTTTGGTATAACCTCAGACTCACTATAGCATAAAAAATTAGATATGCTTATTTTCCCTCTCCTTTATCTTATTTCAGATTTCCTTTATAGTATTCATTCTTTCATCAGTTATATAGTTTCAGGATGCTAATCTAATTTTTAAAAAATTTCTGAAAACTGATTATTTATTAAAGCAAAGTGGTTTCTTTTTAAGGTGAGCTATTTCTAGTATTCAAACAGTTTGCCATCTTTTCATTAGGCTTTTACTACAGTCCTGATTTTACCTCTTTCCAACCATGTGTTTCAGGGATGCTTGGGTGTTCATAGATGCCGTAGCTGCTTATTACTTACACTGTAGTCTGTGGACTGGCAATATTGGCATTACTCGTGGAGGTGAGGTGAGGGAGTTGAGAGGAGTTGTGATAGATACAGAATCTCAGGCCCCAACCTACCTACCTAGACCTGGTGAATTGATTTGCATTTTAATAAGATTCGCATTTTATTTATATGCACATTTCACTCACAATGCAGTTTTGTTTCTCTTTACTTTTGCATATGCAGTCCTGTTTGAAATACTTTTCTTTCCTTTACTTACCAAAGTAATTCATATTTATCTTTTAAAACTCAGTTGATCCCCTTAAACCTTTGAGTTACCAGGTAGAATTGAATGTTCCCTTTTTGTTCCCCTGTTGTTTTAAATATTTTAAAGACATTTTATGTTTTCATTTGTTTGTTTTGCTTTGGTTTTGTTTTTGTTTTTTTTGAGACAGGGTCTCACTAGGCATTTCAGGCTGGCCTTGAACTCACTATGTTTTTGTGGTTTTTTTCCCATTAACTTTATTGGTACATTTTAGGTATACAGTACAGTTCCATTCATCATTGGGATCTTGTACCATTACATGAGTCTCTTGGTTCTTATTTCTTTTTTCCCCTTCCCTTGCCCTCCCTTCACCCCCTCCACCCACCCCTATTTGCAAAGACTTTTTTTCCATTTTTTTCCT